AATAACCATCATGCCCCACTTTAATTTAGGCTCAAAGTTGACCAAAATTCAATTTTTTATACTTAAAAAATTGTTTTGGTCCAGTAATTCCCCACATGAATAAAAAATTGACTGTTAGTATGTAAATGATAATGTTGACACACTATAAAGAGTACATCTTTGGAAAGATCGTGCATCGAGATAGGTAGCTTTTGGCCTTGAACCTTTCCTAGTGGAAGCCCATAGACTTACCGATCTAAATAGTGAATATGATGTCTTGACCTATTCAGATATTTGATAAATCAGATCGAATAAAGTTCACACTGTCTCTTGCCTAACATAATTGATTCTCATGATTGTGTTCATTTTGGCCCTGAACAACTCCTGATTTTCTTGAGTGCTTTAGAGAATTCAACCTTTAAAATTCTCACAGAAGCAGCCCCTTTACACCCATATAGGTGACTCCTACTAGGAATATCCTGCAATATCCCACTTGAATTTTTCAAGGTGTAATAGTCATTAAAAGCATAGCTTACACTAATAAACTCTGCAGGTAGTACTAGTTTATCATAAGAATAGGAATGAGAGATTATCTCTTTATTGCTTCTTTTGAATCACGCATAATTCGGTTGTCCCTGTGAACCTAGATCTTGAGATCTTCAGTCAACTAGGTTGGGTTGTCATTAAGGTGACTCTTATATCATAGGCTTTAGACCCATTCCCTTAGATGTACAATTTACTTGCTCTTTCGTCAAATCTTTAGTAAGCGGATCAGCTAGATTATCATTTGACTTTATATAATTAATAGAAATAATCTCATTTAAGAACAATTGTCTAACGGTATTATGTCTACGACGTATATGTCTAGACTTACCATTATACATATCACTCTGTGCCCTATCAATTGCAGATTGGCTATTGCAATCTATACAAATTGTTGGCACTGGTTTTCGCCATATTAGAATATCCTCCAGAAATTGGCGAAGCCATTCAGCTTCCTCCTCTGCTTTATCTAAAGCAATAAATTCAGATTTCATTGTGGATCTGGAAATACACATTTGCTTAGAGGATTTCCAAGATACAGTTGGACCGCCAATTGTAAAAACATAACCACTTGTGGATTTTGACATAGACACATTTGTCACATTCATTAATTGTGAAACCATTTGACATCATTACCTAGTCAAACTTCTCATGCCATTGTTTTGGTACTTGCTTTAAACCATAAAGTGATTTAACAAGTCTACACACCTTCTTCTCTCATCTCGGAGAAATGAATCCTTCGAGATGATCCATATAAATTTTCTCATTTAAGTCACTATTTAGGAAAGTTGTTTTCACATCCATTTGGTGTATCTCAAGATTATGCAACGCTGCAATAGCTATAAGCATACGAGTAGATGTTATTCTCGTAACGGGAGAATATGTATCAAAGTAATCAAGATCTTCCTTTTGTTCGTAACTTTTAGCTATAAGTCTAACCTTGTACTTATCAATTGATCCATCAGTTTTCATTTTTCTCTTGAAAATCCATTTACACCCCAATGGTTTACTTGCTAGAGGAAGATCTACCAGCTCCCAGGTGTGATTTTGCATGATGGATTCAATTTCACTGTTTACTGCTTCTTTCCACATAGGTGCTTCAAGAGTGGACATTGCTTCATTGAAGCTTTGAGGTTTATTTTTTTAAATGTATATGTTAGAAAATATGGACAATAGGACTTGGAAATCCTTGCCCTCTTATTGCGTCTAAATGTCTCTTCACTTTCATTATTTATAGACTCATGGTCTATATTACTAGTCACAGTATCATGAGTTCTTTTAAGAGAACTCTCATCACATGCATTTTTACTAGGAACAAAAAATGATGCAATTCTTAACTCAATGATTTTATTGATATGTATATCAAGAATATCATATTTATGCACGAGAAAACGATATGCACTATTATTTATTGCATAACCAATAAATATACAATCAATAGTCTTAGGTCCTATTTTAATCCTTTTGAGAATAGGAACCATCACTTTAGCCAAACACTCCCACACTTTTAAATATTTGTAGGAAGGGCTCCAACCTTTCCATAATTTATGAGTGATTTTGTCTAACTTCTTGTGGGGTAGTCTATTTAAAATATAATTTGCTGAAAGCAAAGCATTCCCTCGCAATTTCTAAGGTAATTTCAAACTAATCAACATGACATTCGTCATCTCTTTTAATTTTTTTTTTTTACGTTCAGTACTCCCATTCTACTGAGGTGTATAAGGCGCAGAAGTTTGGTGAATAATATCATGTTCTTAACAAAACCTATCGAAAGGTGCGTCATATTCACCACCTCGATCACTTCTTATTGCCTTAATCTTTTTGACAAGTTGATTCTCAACCTCATTCTTATAGTGCATAAATTTTTCTAATGCTTCATCTTTATTCCTTAACAAATATACATAGCAATATCTCATGCAATCATCAATAAAAGTAACAAAGTACTTCTTTCCACCTCTAGTTTGAACATATTTTAAATCACAAAACCTAAAACCTCCATTATTTTTTTCAAAAAAATTCATTCAACTCTATCGTAGACTTTACTCATATCTAACTTTAGAGAAAAAAAGTCTCTTTTGCCCCCATGTTTTGTATTTTATATACTGCCTGCTTTCTTATACCTATGAATCTTCATACCCAAAATTCTCTTTGCAGCACCCAAATCTTTCATCTTAAATTCTGAACTCAACTGTTTCTTTAACCTTTCAATCTCTAACATGCTCTTAGCAGCAATAAGCATGTTATCCACATAAAGCAATAAATATATAAAAAACTATTTGACAACTGTCTATGATACACACAACTATCATGATTACTCCTAGAGTAACCATGATCTACCAAAAACATGTCAAAACTTTTGTACCACTTTCTTGGAGACTGTTTCAAATAATATAATGATTTATTCAACAAGTAAACATAATATTCCACACTCTTTCCTTTAAGTTGCTAAATAACTCTTTTTTAGATCTTCCCATCACTATTGGAAGGCCCAAGTATTTGTCCTATTGATGAGCACAAATTACTCCAAATATTTCCTGGACTTGGTTTGCCTGCCCCTCTGATGTCTTACTATTGAAAATCACCTCTGACTTTGCCAAATTAATATGTTGTCCTGAGGCAGCCTCGTATGTTTAGAGAATTGACTTCATCATTTCAGCTTTAGGAAGAGATGCATTCAAGAAGAAAAGACTATCGTCAGTGAACAAGAAGTGAAAAATTCTCAAACAGGCCCTACCCACTAACACTAAAGTGAGTAACCCATTTGCCTCCACACTGCATAGGAGATCAGTTAGACCTTCGGCACAAATGAGAAAAAAATAAGATGACAATGGATCTCCTTGTCGGAGACTCTTTTTAGGATGAAAAAGACCTAATTGCTCGTTATTCAACATGAGAGAATACGAGACTATTGTAACACATTGCATTATCAGAGAAACCCATTTATAATCACCCAAAGTGATCATCATCTTTTCCAAGAACACCCATTCCACCCTATCATAAACTTTGCTCATATCAAGCTTTGAAGAGGCATGACCCATTTAACCCCTAGTTCTTACATTTTAGAAAATGATTTATTTTCGAAGGCTACCAACACATTGTCAATGATCAATCTCCCGGGAAGGACAACACATTGAGTATCTGAAATGACTGAGGAAAAGATATGTTTCAAATGATTTGCTAGAAACTTTAGAAATGATTTTATAAATAACGTTGCAAAGGCTAATTGGAAGGAATTGAGGTAAATAATCAAGATTTTTTACATTTTGGTATAAGAAGAATATGATTATAATTTATCTTTGAGGGGAATGGCTACCATTATGGAAATCCAAGACACAATCTGAAACATCAGACCCAATAATATGCCAATATTTCTAGAAAAAAATAGGAGGCATACCATCCAATCCCGAGGACATTGTGGGATACATTTTGGAAAGTGCAGTGGTTACCTTATAAATCCAGAAGGTCTAAAAAGGCCTTGAATACATTAAGTTGGATACCTTATGATCCACTTTGTTGAACACTGTCTCGAGCTCCTAGTTTTGTGGTCTGCTAGATGTAAATAGTGACTAGAAATACCCAACAACATGTTCCATCTCATCCATAGTATCACACCATTCTTAAGCTTAAAGATTGAGTTCCTCCTTCTCCTTTGAGATGCTCAAGCGTGAAAGAAAGTAGAATTTTTATCTCCCTCCTGTAACCAATGAACTTTTGAATGTTGATGCCAATAATTATCCTCCATATCAAGCAATGTACTCAATTCCCCAGCTATTGCACATGCTTACTGCTTCGAATTTTATGTTATACCATTCTCCTTGAGGCTTGCTAGATAGTTGAGCTTTCAAAGCTTCTACTTTCATTGGGACGTGTTCCTCATGCTTTTATTTCCACTTAAGTAGCCCCATTCTGCAATTTTGTAACTCCCTTGTAAACCCTTGAAAACCTAGTAAAATCCCATTTGTTGTTCATACTTTCTTAATGGTCTCTTTGCAATCATCCTTCCTTAACTAGGCAGCTTCGAACATAAAATTTATTCTACTAGGATGCCTCAAAGTAGCTGAGAACCCCTTATTGCTATCCAATAGAATTTTGTAATGGTCAGACTCATTGGAATATCGATGACTTACTCTTGAGTTTGAAAATCTTGCCAACCCTACGAAATTCACACATACTCATGCAGAATTCACACATATCTATCAAGCCTTTCCCACACAGTGTACGACTCTTTCCAATTGTTACACCATGTAAAAGGAAAACCAGTATACCCATATGCACCAAAGCACAACTATCCAAAGCATTACGAAACATTTTAATTTTCCATTTCGTCTGCATTCCTCTCCCCTTCTTTTCACACTATATAGCTATTTCGTTGAAATCGCTAACATATGCTGAGGGCAAATTCATCATTCTTCCTAGATGAGTCAACAATGCCCAAGCCTCACTATGTTTTGATGTCTCCGATTCCCCATAAATCACTGTTAGCCTCCATGACCAATTGTCACCCTCATTATCACCACATCAATGTGCCCATGGGAGTTGCTCTGTAATACCACATCAATTCCCCTCTGCAAAACATCTCTAGACCACCTGATTTGCCTTGAAAATAAACCGCCACCCTAAACATTCCAAGAGTTGTTTTTAACGAACTTAGCTTTTTGGAATTACACTTTGTTTCTGAGAGGAAAACAAAGTCAGGCTGCTCTTTCCTCACAAAATTGCAAAGAACTTGAATTGTCTGGGGTGCCTGAGACCCCAGTAGTTCCAACTAAGGATTTTTATGGTAATCGGGGGGACAAAATACCAGTTCTTGTTGTTACCTCTTCCATATCAAGTGAATTCTAGGTGTTTATACAAGGACTAACCTTGTTTCTTTTCAACAAAATTGGTTCTAGATCTAGACCCATTGATTCGCCGTCAGCCTCCTATTTTCATTTTCTTTTGAGAGCCTCTTGAAACTTTGGCAGCTTGTTTGCAAAGAAACTCTTCTCCCTCCTCTTCCATCTCTTCGTAGTTATGACTTCAATAAAGACAACCTACTTAGCATCGTCCTCTTTCCCCCCAACTTAGAGGACGTCGTGGGCTGGGCTAATGAAATAATAGGGATGTTCATTGAATCCCTGGCAGCCCATTGATTAGTTTCCACAAACTTTTGAAGCCCCATTATCTAGGCCCAACGAATAGGAGCCTTTAATAGCCACCGTTCTCCCTTCAATATTCTAACGCTCATCAATTTGACGAATAAGAGCTTATCCTTTCCCTTGTTAGATAATGGTAAAATCAAATCCCTGAAAATTTTTCCATTAGTCTCAAGGCACTCCACCATATTCACTATAGAAGACTCTCCTCCATTCGCCAAGAATGGCAACTCCTTATTCAAATACTTTCCAACTTCACCTATCTCACCTTCCTTAGATACATAATTGTCATTATTGTTTGGGAACACAATTAGCTCCTCTATAAAATCTCTCCCCTGATTCATCTTTCCAACCATAGCCACCAAAGAAGAAATCCCTTTGACTGTGAGATTTGGGTGATGTAGTCCCAAATTACTAGGCTCACTCAACACTGGCACGTGATCATGAGCCTTCTCCAATGTTGGTGATTCGCTAACAGGTGTAAAGTCATCGTTATTCTCAACTAGAGAATAGCTCTTTGCGGACTTCGAACCAACCATCTTTTTTGATCTTTGCCAATTGGAGCCCATAACCAAGGCCCAAACTACATCTAACCTTTCATCGCAGGATTTGCTAAGTCAAACCTTAGAGGGCATTCTCTTTCCTCATGACCAAAGTGACCACAACAATAACATATATGTGACAATCTTTCATTAATGAAAAACACTGTAGAGCACGTACCCTCTCCAGTAATAAGATTCATTCCTCTAAGAAGAGGTTTATCAATATTAATATTCACCCAAACCCGCAAGCAGGTCCCTCATCCCACTCTTTTATTATTTAGATCAGCTTCCATACAACAACCTATCTTATTGCCAATAGTCTCTACAATAACTTGATTCATTCTATTGAAATGCAGATTGCAAAATTGGACACAAAAGGCGCACCCCTAAAATAAGACATTAGATGTTTGACTCGTTCCATCATACTCCTTTAATAATACTAATAGATTAACAAAATACCAAGACATTCCCTCAAGAATTTTGTTCTTATCAAGCCTATTATTAAACTGCATAAGAAACAAATTATCCCCAGCCTCTATGAACTCCACTTTAGTATTGTTCCAAACCAATCTCATAGTACTTTTAAAGGCAACCTTATTCAAATACACAAAGTCTCCCTTACTCCACTAAGGCCCTATCTCATTGCATAGGAACACTTCCTGCTCCGAAAGGGTAAAATTTCTCCACAGCTACTGCATCTCTTTGTCCATGTTAACATCAAATAGATCACATCCCTTTGGAGAAAGACCACTCCAACCAATCAATTGCAATGAATCAAATGGAACATAACACAAAGAAAAGATGGCTACACTAACAACCAACCCCTATAGGAGACAAAGAAATCAAAAAATAAGGACGTGTTTGGTAATATTTACATTTTTATGTTTTCAAAAAGATAAAAAATAGAATCAATTTTTTGTTTTGTTTTTTTGTGACGCCCCTAAAATCGGGGGTCCTTTTATCAATCATTGGCCACCCGTCAACCCGCGAAAAATACTCGTGATAGTTGCACAACTCTACTCCGCGTTATCAACATTCCCTTTACCGGGATTTCAACCCACATGTAAAACTCGTGTTCGTTTTATCATTTGATCCAACCATGGTGCAACATACCATTAATCATACTCCATTTAAATCCTTGGAACCCAAGAACTCATAGCCCAAAGACTTGGCAATGCATTCTTAAAGTTTCAGATTTTTGAAAAACCTTTCGGAAGGTTTTGCTCGACCTTCCGAAAGGTTTTACTTACTGGAAAAATTCCTTTAGAGATTTTTCATCAACCTTCCAAAAGATTTTGCTTTCTGGGATCCTATCTTGAAGAAAGATGTATCAACCTTCCGGAAGGTGTGTTCAAACCTTCCAGAAGAAGTTGCACACTGGATTCCTTATTTTGTGAAGAATATGAAGACCTTCCGGAAGGTTAGAATCGACCTTACGGAAGTTTCACCCACTGTTCGACAATTTTTCTTGTCTGTCCAAACTTTCCGGAAGGTTTTATCTAGACCTTCTGGAAGGTTTTACCCATAATTTTTTGTTTCACCTATGCTTCATTTCTAATTCATTTCAAACCTTTCCACAAACATCCCAAACATGTAAAGTATTGTTTTTCACATAAGACTTGATACATATCAGTTCTATTACAATTAATTCCATATGATTACAAGTCCATTTACACAATTACATGCTTAAAATGGAATTTTACAAAAAGTTTTACAAAAACTTGCTTTCAAAAGTCACAAACCGGTTTTTTTTCATTGTTGAGGTTCCGAATGTGAGTCCTCCACTGGTACAAACCCCGCACCTGAAATATTTTTCATATAGGGTGAGCCAACGCCAAGTAGAATGTTTCCTACAGAGGCTATTCCTCAACCTAAGTGCATATGCAATGTTCACATGCAACATTTTCCAACAACAATCATTCCAACCAAGATTTAAGCAAGTCAAAGTTGGAATCTACATGTTATGCCATAAATGAAATGATAACATTCATGCAATTTGCCGGAGCCCTTCCCAGCTCCACAACACATGCAATGCCAATGTGTATAAAATTGAGCTTTTCTAGCTCTGGCCGTTTATCTTCACCCCATGCTATGCAGTGAGTATCAAATCGGGCTTTCCAAGTCCCCACCATGTGTTACACACCCAATGACTATTTAAAATCTCTGGGCATTTATTGGAGTGGGTATTTATAGACTTACACCAATGGTCACCCAACCGACACGAAATTCATGGACTTCCACCAATGGTTCTGCGTACACCAACAAAAATGCATATCCGAACACTGGGCCTCTCACCCGATGGATAGTCTAGCCCTTCTTGCTAACCCTTACCCAATTCTTTTTCATGCAGCCGTGCGACTCAGCCGGATATTCAATCCAACTTTTCTGAGCCCACTCGTCAACCACTATGTTTGGTGTTTGACCAACCCATGCACTCACCCACACCCACACCCATGTCTCATTCCCAAGGATGTGATGCTCCCGTGCAAATACAATGTAATGCACCATTTCCTAATCTATGTCATGCCCATATGTAAAGAATGCCACATGAGCAAAATTTACTACATTCAAACAACTTCCATGGCAATTTATATCCGAAGTATATAATTACCAAACTTTCTCATAATGATATATATCAATGAACATATATCAACATTTCATTTTCAACAACAATTCATAAGCATGTTATTATATAACATATGCTAACAACACACTTAATTTTCATGGCATAAAATTAACACATAACATGCCCCAAAAAATCCCCAATTCCATGGATCACATTGAGTCTAATTCATAACCCATTTCAAGGTAAAATTTCATTTTACCCAATTTCAATACTCATTTCATCAATTTTCACAACATAGGAAATGATAAATCTTTTTATCCACATAACCATTACATACTACACCCTAGGTTATTAAATAAACCTAAGTAAGAAGGAATCCTACCTCTTGAAGCGTAAAACTGATGGTAGAACGTTCAAGAATATCCCCCAAGTCCAAAATTTTGATTTTCCAAAATTTCGCCCTTGGAATCTTCGGTGAAACCCATTATTTTTTATATAGACGCGTGGCCCTCGACGAGAGGAGTAAGTTTAATTCTTGGCTTGTGTGGATTTGAGCTATAGAATCTTGTAGATCGTAGAGAGAAGACGAATTTCTTTCTCTCTTTTCCCTCTCTTCTCTATCCGCTAATCAGCTGAACACCAAAATGGAGAAAAAAAATCACTTGCCTTAAATTACTATCCATCTTTTGAAATTTTATTAAAAATTCTATTTTTGGGTCACCTGATACTCGACTGTCTCGTAAAACGCAAAAAATCTGACTATCTCAGAATTCGATGAAATTTGACAGGATAACTAGATTTTGTGAGAGGAATCCAATGGTGAGGTCCGTTTCGTCATCCAAGATCTAGAAAAATTCATGTTTTCAACTCGTACTGTTGTAGCAATTTACCGTCTTGCCCTTTTTGTAAAAAAGTTTAAATTTATCGAATTTTACATTTTTTGTGGTTAAAAGTTGAAAAAAAACACGTGTTTGGATGTAGTTGTTGTTTTCCGAAATCTAAAAACTAAAACATAAAATATGTTTGGTAATCATTTTATTTTTTTTCATATATTTTACATTTATTTAATTCTTGATAAACCATATCCACATGATATAAAAAGAAAATTTTATTTCAAAGAATCAAAAAAATTACAATAAAAAAATATTGCAAACAGACTAGCATCAAACCCTATTGGCTTTAATTCTTCAAAATGCCAAATTACCAATAGCATAACACCAATAGCCTTCCAAAATCAACAACTATATAGGAATACATAGAACAAAAAATCAAAGAAATTTCCTTTTTTTCCTCAGCACCTTCAGGCCTTTCTGGTCATGCAGCATCAATAGCTTTGCCTACAAAGGAACATGAAGATCTTGTAAAAATTTAGAGGAGAAGCCACTCCCAACTCTACCAGGGTTTCCTTTAGATGCACCATCCACGTTAAGTTTCGGAAACCCTAACGAAGGAAGAAACCACCTTACCCATAAAGCCAAAAACTGAACCTTCTCTTCAAACTCTACCCCCAAAGCCTACAAAACGTCCTTACCCTTAAAACTTTTAGTGAGTTGGGGTCTAAACACCTAAGCCTACATTTTCAAAACAGAACAATAGCATGAGCAGAAAAATGTCCTTCATCAAAAACTCGCCTACACCTCTCCTTCCAAGTTAACCAGTAAACCACCAATGCCATTTCCCTCATTAAAGCATTATATAAAGAAGGCTTCTTAAAAAGTCTCCCCATCTCACCATTCTAACTACTAGGGTCTCACTTTCAAACAACTGGAACCCATATAGAACAAATAGTTTAAAACAATTGTGTGGAATCACTTGCATGAATATTTCACTTGCATGAATATACCTATGTGATTAAACCCATGTGTCATTCAAATGTACCAAAAACAAACAAGCATTTTCAGCAGAATAATTATCATTATTGAAAAAAGGAAATGAAAGAAGAATAGCATGCATATATACATTTGGAATATAAAAACTAAACCTTTTATTTGAATGAGAGGGACATGATTTGGGACTTACCAGAATGAATCTTAAAATTGAAAACAACCAGAGGATAAAGATCACAAAATACCCTCTCCACCACTTCTCTCTCTCTCTCTCTCTCTCTCATCTTTGTTTATTAAAAATATTTACAAGAATTGGAGAGATGAGTTTTGTGGGGTTCGAGTGAGGATGGAGAAAGATAACTATCAGAAGCAAAAATGCTTCAATAACATTGCTTCTTTTCAAGTAAATTATCTAGAAAGACCCTCAAATATAAAGTTAAATCTACAAAAATAAACCTTAGATCTAAAAATTATACAATATAAATGTGTAAAAATAAATTATGGATCTATAAAAATAGGCCCTAAATCTGAACAACATCAGCATAGATCTAAACAATCAACAAGAGAAATATCATTGGAACAATAATATAATAGAGAAGATAAAG